CAATTTGCTAAGATGTCAAGTTGTTATCATTCTCCTCCATTGCTCTTGATTCCTACTGGCAAAAATAATATATGGAAAGTGTACAACGTCATGGATGATAAACTACTGCAGGTGGTGGTTGCCAAAAGGAGTTTTCCTTGTAGTGATGGATTTGCAAGTAAGAGTCCCAAATAAGAGATTTTGTGGGTCTTCAAAAGGTTGGTTAATTGTTGTGGAGAGGAATTCTGCAATAATCCTAATAAATTCATTCTTTAGGGTCATAGTGGGGAGAAAGAAAGAAAACTCCATCATTCGTCTTTCCTCAATTAAATGTTCCATATCGCGAGGCATGGGCTGAAGATTGTAACAATTTTGTTTCCAAGGCTGCGATTTCAGCAGACCCAATATTAAATTCAAACAAATGCATTGTTATAGTCATATATGAGGAGATATGTCAATTGACTTTTGTTAGACTTGGTAAAGACACAACATGAAATCATTTGGATCAAAGATGTGAGTTGATTGAAGAAGTTGTTTCCATTAAGAATAAATTTTATGCGGTCGTTCATTGGACCAAACTTATCTTTTGATATTGCTACTCAGTTATACTCAGATGTAAAGATTATTGCACAAGAGATTAAACAACTAAAGTTATATATAAAGAAGGCATATAGCGTGAATTTAAACAACAGAGAATTTATAATGGTCATAAGGTATTTTGATATTGATCATGAAGCTTGCAAACGTATGAAATCAACTTCAAGATTTTCAAATTGGATTTTGAAAATTGCAAATGGCTTTAAAAAAAGACATTGAGTGATACTGCTATGCTTTTGGGTGATAACTCTTCAATATCTGTGTTGGCTTTAAAAGTTTCCAAATGTTAGCCAAATACTTCAACCATGACCAGAACCAGAAGTTCTGAAGTTGTAGTTAATTGACTTATATTTGCTAATTCAAGTTGTAACTTAAACAATCAATCTTAAATGAGCAAATTTGTACTTCAAGTTCTAACACATGGTTTCCTTAATTTTCTTTCTTTCTTGAGCATATCTTTCATCATAGATTTAACGAAAATTCTGTGGCGCATTGGCTGTACCGGTACAACCGCTTATCCAAGGGCTGAGTTTGCATGTTAAAAATGGATGGATGAGATTCAATGACTTAGTAACCTGTTGAGCCCTTTGTTATTCAACACATGAGTCGCATGTGACTCTGAGAAAGGCAGGTTTGGAGGATGAAGACGACACGCACTCTCCTCTCTGGTTGCCCAAATCGAAAATCCTAAGCGCCTCCAGGAACTCTTCTCTCTGCTTGCCCAAATCCAATCCTTAGCGCCTCTAGGAACTCTTATCTCTGCTTGCCCACTCTCTCTGCTTGCCGACGAACTCTTCTCTCTGCTTCGCCAGGAACTCTTCTCTCTCACTTGCCCAAATCCATCCTAAGCGCGTCCAACTCTTGTTTGTGCTTGGCCAAAATGCATCTACAAGAAGCTAATGCTCACCGAATTGAGGTCATCCATGAGAAAACCCAAGCCGATGTTGGCGACTCTGCTTAAGCGAGTTCCTCAACTCTTCTCTCTACTTGCCCAAAACTCATCTGCAGATACCGAATTGATGGTGGGTCCAACCTCCATGATGTAATGGTCACCAAATTGGAGGTATTTAATTTAGTTTGTTTTGTTGGAATTGTCTGATATAGAACTTCAATGTCGCACATTGAAGTGTGTCACCGGCCTGATATGAGATCGCCCATTTCTTTATGTGTTTAGGAGCTTTGAAGCCCATTCCAGCGGGTACTACATTCAATCGATATACGAGGTGGGCGGGCGAAGAGTTTGACCGTTGACGACATCAGCGGAATGGATTTGTAATCAGTTTGAAGTTGAACCAGATGAGTTTAAGGAAGAAGACGATGTCGACTGTAATGCGTAGGTGAAATTGTTTCACCTGTTGACCTTAGCAGCAGGTTTCTCATGTTTTTTAAAAAAGGCACGTGCTTGGCATGTAATCGGCTCTACCGATACAGCCGATGCACCACAAAAATTCCACCTGTAGCCAGACAATATTTAATCATTGCATGCTACTGCTACAGAAGGGTCATCTCCTGCAAATAAGTATTACAATCCTTCATTAAGTAGCTCTCAAAAGAATTCACTCAGGTCATGATTGTTCTCACTTCTCAAAAAGCATTCGGGTACCTTTTGAATCTCTTTAACTTGACACTAGAATTTAAACATTAATTCTTGGAACAATAACACCAAGAACCAAGTTTTTGTTTTAAATTTTGAACATAAGGGGACAACAATTATCTGTCATTGACCGTCGTTTTCAAGAAAAAATGAAATACTCATCTTGGGCTGCATAGTTGTGTTATTGGGCTGGTTTTTGTTATGGGTTCGCTTTCCTGGGCTGCTATTTGTTTGCCTAATCCACATGGCATAGAAATAATTATTCTTTCCTTTTTGGTGAAACGGTATAGAAATTCATCCAAAACTCATGATGGAGTGATTGTCAATCATGCAAAAAATCTTGGAATATGGAATTTGGAGCCCAAGATTTCCATGTTATAAAAGGCCAACCAATCAACTCAATAGCAAACACATGAAAAAGTCACAACATTACTCTAAAACTCTACTGCAATATATGGTTTTGCACGTTCTCAAGTGTATACAAGATCTTCTTAGGGAGGCTGCACCCAAATAATTAAGCTTTCTCTTGACCGGACCTAGACGGGCTCAAATGGGTTGGGCTGCTAGCCGATTTAGGGTTTCTAATCCATTTGAACTCATCTTGAAGATCACGTTCTACTTACATTTAGTATATGCATTATTAGTATTAGTTCAACAATTAATTGCTAAATTTGTGTATATGTTGCTAGATTGGTCTATATATTGTTGAATTCTTAAATGTCTTGATGGGTGTTTGTTGAGTTTGTGTATGTTTGAGCGTTTGCTGAATTCATGTATGTTCCGAAAAATCAGAAAAGGAATGATCAAGCATACGCAAATTCAGCAAACATTAAGCATACACAAATTTAAGAAACACTCAGCAAGATATTTAAGAATTCAACAGCATATAGACCAATCCAGCAACATATACACAAATTTAGCAATTAATTGTTGAACTAATACTAATAACTCATATACTAAACTTAAGTAGAAAGTGATCTTCAAGATCGAAAATCAACCACTTCATGGACAACAGGAACTCTGAAGTCATTTTAATTGTTGCATGGTATGAACTCTGAAATCGCTTCGTGGATGGCCGGAACTCTGAAGCTGGAACTCTGAAGTCACCCAATCGCCGCCATCACCGCTCATTTCAGCTTATTCCAGCCTCCACATTTCTACAACTATAAGAAACCAAACAAACAGGTAGATGTGTTCATAATAAGAAATTAAAGTTATAATTTCCAAATTAAACTTAGAATTGGAAATTAATGGATTATACCTTTTTGTTCTTGGGGAGCTGGTTTCTCATAGTCGCTGAAGGTGTGGAAGTGAGCCTTATAGACACCACAAACTTTGTCATTGTTCATTGGATGTTTATGGTTTGAGTGATCCTCAAATGCCGCAATGGTATGAAATTTACGCTCATAGTTGTTGCATGGTTTGATTTGGTTGTCCATAGCTATTTTCCTCTCTTGTTTAGTGTTCCCTATGGTGCTCTAGCGGTAGAGTCTATTACGGGTCCTGCAAATCTTTCATTTTCCATGCCTCTATGTTCGTTTGCATTTAAGATGTCAAGTTGTCGTCTTTCTCCTCCACTGCTCTTAAATTAATTCCTACGGGCAAAAATAATATATGGAAAGTATACAACGTCGTGGATGATAAGCTACTGGAATTGTAAGTAAGAGTGCCAAATAAGAGATTTTGTGAGTCTTCAAAAGGTTGGTTAATAGTGGTAGAGAAGAATTTTAGAATAACCCTAATAAATTCATTCTTTAGGGTTATAGGGGGGAGAAAGAAAGAAAACTCAATCATTCATCTTCCTCAATTAAATCTTCCATGGTGTATGCACACAGAGGCATAGGCTGAAAACTGTAACAATTCTGTTTTCAAAGCTGCAATTTCAACAGTCATATACCAGGATAGATGTTCAGGGTTTAGGGTCAAGGATAAATGTCAAGCGGCTTTTATTAGACTTGGTAAAGACACAACGTGGACTTTTGTTGATGAATGGTATAAGTTGATTTGAAGAAGTTGTTTCCATTGAGAATAAATTTTATGCGGTCGATCATTGGATCAAACTTTTATCTTTTGATATAACTACTCAGTCATACTCAGATTATCTCACAAGAGATGAAACTACATTTGTATGATAAGAAGACATATATAGTCAATTTAAACGAAGGGGAAATTATAATGCTCCTAAGGTATTTTGATTTTGACTATGAAGCCTGCAAACGTGTGACAACGAACTTCAAGGTTTTCAAATTGGATTTTGAAAAATGCAAGTGGATTTAGAAAAAGACATTGGATGATACTGCTATCTTTTTGGGTGATAATTCTTTGATATTTATGTTTTAGGATGTCAGCCAAATTGAATATACTTCAACCATGAGGATGAATGTATATTTGATGAAACTCGTAAACCTCGTAATTTTGGTGTGTATAACATCAAAAGTCGAAGCTTTTTGCAACCTTACAAGACAGATGCCATGACCTTAAGATGGCCAATCGCCCCCCCAATTTGGATTGTGCCAAGTTTTCAACTATAAAAAGCTTGATTAATCTCTTCATATTATTTCTCTTACAGTGTAACTTGAAGATTTTAAAGGTACTTGGTTTCCTTATGCCATGCTTATTAGATTCTCTTACATTCTGACATGCTAAAATTTGTGTTTCAGAGGGAACTGTTTGATTCATGTTCCAAGCTAGAGAAACTCAAACCAGCCCTATATATTTAATGTTAATTAATTTTCATTATATTTTTCTGAAGGGATTTTGTTTTGTATATTTTTCTTTTACCCCACATGAGACTATAATTCAGGAATAAACATCCATAAAACATGGTTGATTTGAGATCGAAGATAAAACACTTTCTGCTCAGATATGTATTTGTACAACATGACAAAATGGCCCCAGTTGTTTAAAGGAGCAAAGGTTCCACTCAGGATATAGAGCAAAATGAAAACCAACGGGAGATATGCCTCTTTAGAATATCTATTCTACGTATTTTTGAGTAAGAACACACACCAATCATTGTGCGTAGACAACTTTTTTGTACCATTACGGTAGAGTCCAAGAAAAAATGCTAGCAAAACGATCCTCTAGAATCCACAGAGCGAGATATGAATAAGAAAAGGGAAAAGCCTTCTCTTCAAATACCACAGAACCTCTCAAGTTCTAACAGAACGGACACACTTGAGTTGGTTGACAGAAGCAATTAAACACTCTCCGTGGCATCTCTTCCTGACTCTTCTGTACCCTGTGCTGCACCCAACCTCTCAGCTGCCAGTCTTTCTTCAAGTGCTCGAGCCCCTCTTTCTCTGCAAAAGGCAGTTCAGTCACAAATGAACACTCTTTTTCCCGCTAAAGTTATTTGATTATGCTGGAAGGGAGCAATAAATTCCTTTTTCTTTAATAGTGATACACTGACGGGCATTATTGAAGCCCGAAGGGGGCTACAGAAATTCTGTCACAGTACAAACCTCTTCACTAATTTGCACATTTATTTATGTGTATTTTATTTGCAGACTATCATACCATCTAGTGAACATGAATACCAAAACTGTTTGTGGTATTGAGAACAGAAATGTTACCTCCTTCTAGATGCTTCGATGGGGTCGGATCCAGGCAATGTGGTGCCTCCAAGGGTATAACCTTGGGATTCGCTGGAAGTGTCAAATCTTCCACAGAGCATCCGATGGAATATAGATGCAACAGGATCAATGACTGGTCTGCGACAATTAACAAGAAATACTTAGAAAAATGGCAACCTAAGAAAATTGTTTTGAAGAGTTTCAAAATAATAACAATTATTTACCTTAAAAATTCAGGGAAGAAAGTAGAAAATGCAAAATCATCACTTGGGTCGCCCTTGAGTTTAGTTTCTGGTTTCCTCTGCCAGTATCTGAGATAAATCCAGCTCAAATAGGTGCCAAATATTAAAATTGGAAGATATGTTGCTGACTGTGCTGTCCAGAAGCTTATGGCAATGGACAACAATAGTGAGAGAGATGGCAACCACTGCACATAATTGAAACAACAGCAAATTGGGGGTTATAGGACTATTAATTAATTAACCTGCAGAAATTTTCATTAAAACACCATTTTCAAAAGTCCACACCTTAGATTTTATCTTCAATAAAGGCAACTCCTGATCAGGGATGATTTGCTTGATGCCAACCAAGAAACCTGAAAGGACCCCATGGAAGCCAGAAAGAGGCAGGTAGCTGGCACAAATGAACAAAAGAAAGTAGCAATATTATGCATGAGATAAAATAAATGATCAAACCAGGCTAACACATGTACAAACATTATTATATACAATTTCATACATGAACAATGGAAGATATCCGTTCACAGTTTAAAAAATGATCTGTTTCAAAATTTGTGTGCTATTAGAGTTAGATCTGAATTGCCAATAAATCAGCTTGAAAGGAAAAAAGGGGGAAAAAGTGTAACAAATTCCATATTTTTTTTTCCTATTTCTAACAAATCAACATGCTACAGAATACAAGGTAAAAAAAAGTAATAAAGCTGAAAAAGTAGGGAGACAGAAAGAAAGACAAAAATATGAATCACTGGCATCCCCATAACTTTTTATTTCTCTGAATGTTTAATGCTATCTTAGTAGTGTACTTACAGGTAATTTTCGTTCATCGTAATGTAGTACAAAGCAATAGCAGTGATGAAGGTGCATATGGAAGTTAGGAAGTTAACTACAAAGATGAACTTCAAGAACTCCCTAGAACCCCACACAGGTTCAAGCAGCTTCCCAATAAAAAGAAGACCAAGAATGCTAACAACAACCTGTTAAATAAGTGTAAAAGTCAGTACTATTTCTTAAATGAACATAGAGAATCTGTCAGGTACAGAAATCTCAGGCAAAATATGACTACAGCACAGAAAAACTGTTTATGGAATAAGAAGCACATACCCCGTATACTGATTGCTCAATGTAACCGGCTGTTAGGAGGTTCCAGACAAAAGGAATAGTCCTACAACACAGAAGTTTGGATTAGAATTAAGTTGCAGGTAAGAGGTTCCAAATCTAAAGGGGTGAGCTTGCTCTCGCTCTTTATTGGAGTGACCGAGCATAGGGATATGCAAAATTAACTCTCTTAAAAAAAAAATATGCAAAACTAATCATGTGATGAACCCCAAACCCCAAAATATTATGATTATAAGTCCCTTATTACATTACTCAGAATGAAATTCCGTTAGAAAAAAAAATTATAAAGAAAAAAAGAAGGCATAAAATGTTAAAGAACAGAAATGGGGAGACCAATGGGAGAAGCCCAAACAGCCTTAAACAGAGAGGTGCAACGACTACTGGGGTCAATAATGCATCATCTGGTTCAAATTTTTCAGGAGAAGGCACTACGCTTCACTACAAAATCAACTTCTAAATTTTTGCAAAATCCAGAATCTAAGGGAAAACAAAGTCTGTAATCAACTAGTCAAAGGACCATCTAAGATAAAACTGCAGAGATTACATACAAAGGGTTATCATATAATCCCAATGCCACTAAAGCAGGGCCAACAACCTGAGCTGAGTTTCAGATCAACACAAAAGCAAACGCTTAAAAACATCCTTTTTCACAAAAGTTTCACAAAACCCATCACTGGAAACACAGATTTATGCACTATTTCACTATTCATTTTGGTTAATCTCCAATCCAAAAGCCAACCCACAACACAAAAGCCAACCCAAAATTGAACACCAAAATAGAGAGAAAGACGAAACCTGGCGGGAATGAGCGCTAGATAATTAACGGCCTGAGGGAGAAACTGAACCACAATGTGTCCTCCAATAAGCACCACCGCTAAGCCCTTGCATAGCCGAGTGAACCCAGAGAACGCACCCGCGCCCTGCAAGCCCACCACGCAGAAATTCAATTGAAAAACGCAAATCAGAAGAAAAGAAAAGAAAAGAGAGAAGAGAAATTGTGGGTTTTGCTTACCCCTGAGAGTGATGGAGTGCTCATGGCACGTTGTCGTTGACCGTTGGATTTGGAGCGGTGATTTGAGATCGGAGTATCAGAGTTTGGGTTTAGCAAGGAAGGTTTGGGAATTGTACAAATTGTGGATCAGTCCGATCCGCGAAGGAGTTGAATCGAAACATGCGGTGAATATTAATATAAAAATTGGTGTGATTGGGTAAAGGCGCGACCATTGTTCAGATTGGATTGAGTTACAAGGTTTCCTAAATGTACATTTGTTTTTCATTTTTAGTCAATTTCGTCAACATTAATAGATGAAATTTAACATGAAAATATACAACTGCCACATACGAGTATGTATGAGGTCCGCATTTTTGTTTATCAGCTCAAAATGTACATCTATTTTTCTTAATAATGTTAGATTTATAAGTATTGAGATATGTAAGTCTTGAGATTGATAGGTCTTAGATTTTTTCCACTGGGTTTTCTTAGGCAAGGTTTTGATGAAACAATGTTTGTTCGCTCGAGTCTGTAACCTTTGACAGTTGAATGAAATCTTACTATTTCCCCCCCCCAAAAAAAAAAGACTAAGCAAAATTACAAGACCAAAACAGAAAATGTACCAAACCACAAAACCCAAAATGTAATTTGGGAAAGTTCAACTCAAGTCAATTTAGCTAAAAACAAAAAGAAATTAGTTTTAAAAGAGTATACTTCAATTTCCATATTCTTAAATTCACCCGCTCTTAAGAAAAAAATAAAATAGAGATGTTGTATGTATCGTGTTGAACTGGGAAGATTCAACTATTATTTTCGTTCACCAAAAATTTGGAATTAAAATTTTGAAAACGATGCCTAAAATAATTCCAGAGGAATTGTTTCACAAACATGTTGCATGCTAAAACGTCACATATGATATAAAAGAGAGTGATAAGGCATCTCTTTATGTATATGGTCTTGCCATGAAGAAATTTGAGTTTCTACGCAATAGTATCGTGAACTATAGACTTTTGTCTCAACAGCCATGTGATTGCAATCATTCAACAAGAAGATGGATTAGAATTTGCTTTCACATATCAACTACCGAAAAAAAAAAAGAGAAGGGAAAAACAGTTTAGATCTGTTACAACATGGGAAAGAATCCAATATTTTGCATGTCTTCTATTTGCAGACATGCCTACCACCATCTACACAAACATTAATGAGATGTTAATCTCTTACATGCCATCTCATGTATTCAACCCTAAAACGTGCTCCAAAATCTGTATATACTTCTCACCGTTTAACATATGTATTAGGTTAGACATGGACTGTTCACATACCTCACTATTTTACACTTCTCGACAGCTTGCAATGCCGTCCTTGATCCGCCTTCATCGTCACATTTGCGGATCTGTTTTTGTAAGTACAAATGGTGATTGAAGAAATGATAGCTTTGCATAGGATCCTGAGTTCAATGCAAGTACTAGGCCTGGTGCGGCCTTAAACACCTTAATCCAACTCAAGCAGTGAAAATACCAATATCCCTCTTATCCTCCTATCAGTTGCTCCAAAGAACACTGCGAGTGGAAGCCTGCAATCTTAGCTTCTCCAAAAAATGGCTCTGTGGGAGTTGAATATGAGCATCATGGGATCGCATATTGCTTTCGAGCAAAAGATATGGGGCTCAAGTAAGCTTCAGAGAAGGATACTAAAGCACGATGGCAAGCCAAAGCTAAAGCTGTGGTAAACATAACAAATGAAGTCCAGCAGAACCTCAGCATCAATATTGGATTTTTCCTTGCAGAGTTTAGTACATTTGAGAAAATCACTTTGAGCCGACGATCTCTGAAGATGGTACGGTAATCATAAATGGGAGTTTTGGAAGATGGTTCTAGATCTCTGTTGTCATGCGCACTTGCCAATCTCAGATCAGAACTATACCGAGTTGTTGCAATGCCCCGTCCAAATGCTGCAAACATCCATTGATATAGAATGTCTGCAATGACACTGCAAAATTGCTGGCGGAAGAACTTTGCCTCCTTGGATACCATTGCTTGGACCAATGAAGCTCCATCCTATTAGATTCAATTGACAATGAGGTTTTAGTTCATATGATAAGATGACAAGTGATAGATCATGGGTAAAAAGCATCATGTTTCACATGTACTTAACCCTCCATCTGCCTATCTCATTGTTACTTAACCCTCCATTTGACAATTTCATTCTTACTCATGCAAGATAAAGTCCAAATTCGATCAGCAAGCCATTGTCCTACGAGAGCTACACCAAAAGGTAGGCAATACCAGAAAATATGATGCCATTGGCAACCATCAAAGTGAACTGAGAACAAGATGAATTATCACCTCAAATGAAACTAATAGCAGCTAAAGACGATAGTGAGAGAAGGGAATGAGGAAAACGAGAGTAAAAGTAGAAACCAATTAGAAATGAGATAATGTGTAATTACCATACTATCCTTTTAGCCTCTAACCCTAACATTAAATGTGTTATATCCATAATAGGGGTATATTTCACATTTTCTGTGTGATAATTGATAAAGAGAGTCATCTTAACAATATTATAAATACAACGAGAAAAAGGGACCAGCATAAGGGGACTCACTGCAGTCATCAACAGTCTTCTGAGCACAACACCATCTTTGGATGGTAAAAGCCTCAAGACCAAGTTTGCAACATCAACTGCACCACTGTCCCTTAGTGGTAAATAGCCAAGGGAAGAATCAGCTTTTGATGCTATCATCCCATGTAAACCTTTCCTGCAAAAAAATATAAGAATCATGAATATTTATTTGTACAGAAGAGATGCAACCCCAGCAAGTTATCAGGTGAACTAAGAAAGGCTATCAAAAAGGACCAGCATAAGATTTTTGGTAATGATGGATAAGGTATCCTATTGTGAGGATGATTAGCATCCCATGCAAACCCTAAAAGCTGTTACTGTGACTATCCACACCAAAAACAACAGAAGAGTGCAAAAAAAAATTATCAGTAGCTGCTAACAGAAAAGTAATTTCCCTTCTTCTTTTCTACTTATTCATGGAGTCATGGGCCTTGCATCTGACCAATTTTTTGAAGTTCTTAAAGTTCCAAGACATATTCAAAGAATAAACTTGTACCTTGGGAATTGGACTTCAAGAGATACAATTTAACATACCTAGTTGCACCTACTTTTAAGAAAAGAGCAAGCCTCTGCCACTGGAACTCCTTCTTTTTGTTAAAAACCACCTGAACCGAACAAATCAAGTAAATCAACAACAAATATGCTAAAATTTTGATTTAGGAACCTCACTGGATAGATTGTCCTCCAAAAAACCTACCCCTATGCCTTTGATTATCAAACAGAAGTTTGTGAAAACTCAGAAGGATGGGAGACATCAAATGGAGAGTCCAAAATTTGGTTCGCATGATACCAATACCTACCAAGTCTAAACTAACATGTTTTACACTATAGATTTTACATTTCTAAGTATGCAAAGAAATAAAGAAATGCCATTAGTATGTGCAAACAGATATAGATGTACTGCAAGTCCATGTGATAACCCACAAAAACTAAGAGCATAGGCTATGGTTTTTGAGCATTTCTTACCGAATGTAAAATTTTCCTTGTTGCAGCTGAATTTTCAGTAAGAAGTTTCCGAACAACATAAGGGTATGCAGCTTCAAATGTTTTAAAGTTTTTATCGGCAGCTACAGCTAATCCTGGGACAACAGACAAAACACGTAAAATCTATTGAGCTAAACAATCTTTATAAAAACATTGAAAAGTGAAGGATGATTTAGGGGTTGGATGCATCACACAGAGAGCTAGAACCAGCATCAGAAAAATATGAAACAAATTGATATTGGGCAACTTGCTGATTAAGATATGAAGCAAAAAGTCTGAAACCAAGAACTGATTCTGGTCTCATAATACTTTGCAATCAAGATAGTCCTTGTATCAGCTTGCTGATTAAGAAAGATACAATCAAGATAGTGATTGTGTCAGACTTGCTTAGATCACTATCTTGAGGCAGCATACAGGGCATCCAGACAGTAATCATACATCATGATCGTGATTGTATAGGATAGTGATGCATGTAAAAGTAACACAACATAACCAGTATCCTACAAAATACAGATACAAAAAGTATATGCAAATGGCATTTGATGCCCTAAGGCAAGTGAACACTACCTTCGAAGGAAGCGAGAGAACGTAGAACAAGTGAATAGTACGGTGGCATGCGAAAATGATACTTGAAGGCTATGGACCAGATTTTACCCAGAACCTTCGGAAAAATTACAGTTACAATCAGCCTTTAGTAAATATAAAGAAGCAAGTAATATTATGTGTATCATTACTACAGGCAGAGGAGCTATTGTTGAAGGAAGACACAATTACAGATTGCAGATAAGCCAATTTCCAAGTTGTTCAGATGATATTTCATGCTGAAGAATACTTGTAAGTTACCAATATTTACGAGATCAAGACATGATTCTCACCCTGCTGAACTTCACATCAGGAATTCCATCTCTAAATTCTACTTCTCCCAGCTCATATTCCAGATCCTAAATCATAATTACAGCTCAACAAGTTAGTTTCCATAGTTAAGAAAGAAAGTAAAATCTCATTGACTTTCATAAATAAATAAAAAACATATTTTTCAGAAGCAGAAATAATAGAAAGACAGTACATAAAACTGAAACCAAAGAAGCTGATACGATACCATGGTTACACGCCTGATATTAGTCCCTGGCCTTACGACATCCATTTCGGTCAAGGAATTAACAAGGGATGCCCAATCTCCATTTACTATGTGCACAATGGATGCAAGCATAGCAAATTGATGCTTTTTTTCCATCTGACAAAGCAAGCCAAAATCCAAAAACCTGACATAGAAGTCACCAGTAGAAGTGAAATGAGCTATATATGCACACTTAGATATTTGGGTATAGCATGTAAAGCTTATTTCTACACAGTGACAGTCAAAGAGGTACCCGATTTGTCCTGAGGATGTGTAACGCAGGTTTCCAGGATGTGGATCAGCATGCAATAAGCCTGTTTCGAGGAGCTGAACTAAGCATGCCTCCACTCCTTTCTTAACCTACAATAGTCAAACCACAATAATCTGTCACTCAGCTGCCTGTGATGACATAATATAGGGAGATCATACTACAAACTGAAACACTCAGAATAATAATTTGACACGTCTTTTATTGGAATCACTAATTCACTAAGTTAAGAAACCACATTTTCAATGTTATTTTCATTGAACTCAATATAGGATGGCAGCTTACAAATGAAT